TCGTAGGCCTCACGTCCCTTGCCAAAATCAACAGCAATCCATTTGGTTTTCACCTTGTGTTCGCTCTCTGTAAAAGTTGTTTCACGAGTCAGTATCAGAGTTGGCTTTAGCTTAGTTTAGTTATATGCAGAATATGTTTGTTTACTCACCAATCTCGTTGGTTACCGCGATGAGCTTCTCCTTGGAGCGTGATATGAGCACCAGATTGAGACCTTGACGTGCCAATTCCTTGGCATATTCCTTACCGATGCCGTCTGTAGCACCGGTTATCACTAAAAAGAGAAAGGAAAGTATTTTAATTATTCTCGGAATGGAATGGAATACTCAAGAGGCTTAAGCAATTAGTCCATGGTTTTATTTTTCTCAAAAACATATTTTCTCTTCAAGAGGTTTCTTGAAAATGAAGATACAACCAGTGTGAATGTGTGAATGTATGTATCAATGTATGAATGAATGGATGTATGAATGAATGAATGTATGAATTTTTGAATATAAGAATGTATGAATTTATGAATATATAAATATATAAATATATAAATCATTATGGGGAACGTATGCATATATGCATGTATGAATGTATGAATACATATATGAATGTATGAATATATGAATGTTTTAATGAACGTCAATTATACAATTTTTCATGTTTAGAATATAATTCATTGCAGCTAAAGAAAAATAATTTCATCATATTATATGATTTGTGTGCAAACATTGTTAGATTTGCATTTCCACAAAACTTTCAGTTTGACACGCAATAAATTCAGTTACATTCAGGTAACAGACTACAGTTAGCTGCCTCACACACCCTTGCTAATTATATAAATAATCAGTTTATTTATTTGGGCATATTTGCCGTATCCGTTAGTAGCCATTATCTAGCCCAAAACAAATACAAATATGAGTACCACAATTGGCAAAAACACAAAATACAACAAAAATACTAAAAGAAAAAAAATATAAATAAATAAAAATAAAGCTCGCGTGTTGCTGATGTTTGCGATCAGTTGATGTTGCTGTTGCAATGAGTCAATGCAACTGTTGCCGCTGTGCGACTGCGCAACTGACCAACAGGCGGCAATTGCTGGCACCGTTAAAATACAAGATGTTGTTGTTGTTGTAGTTACTGCTCTGCTGCTGGTGCTGGTGCTGTTGTTTTTTAGCTGTTGGCCACATTTGTTGCCAAATATTTGTGCAGCGGAAATATTGACAGCGAATGGCAGCTGCAACGGGTCGTGTGTGTTGGCTCTAGCTGAATGGATAGCTGAACAAATGTGCACAGACTCTTGAAAGTTTGTCTAATATTCGCCAGCAATACTTGAAATTGGGGAAAAACTATCAAGTAAAACTCATTGTAGTCAAGGTCAAAAACACTTGAGAATATTCAGAAAATAATATTTATCAAACGTGGGTAAAAATTAGAAAGTGAATAAGCAAATAAAGCTACTCTGCCTGAACCATTAGTCATATATATATCAAGGATAAATAATATAACTTTTATATTTCCTGCAATAATTTTGTTAAATTTATTTTCTTCTATTCTTCATCATTTTAAATATGCTGCTTGATTCAAATTTTTAACAACATGGAAAAAAGATACTAAGAGTATAGGAAAAATATATTTTTCTCAATATATTATAGTATTAGATATATTTTAAACAAAATTTTATGAATACAAAATTTTAGAGTTTTATATATAGTTTTAAAATTTTATACAATTAAAATTTTTGAGTTTAATAAACATATAGATTGTGTAATTGTTTTGCTTGGAATAATAGACGATTCGAATATAGTAAAATTTATTTTAATTTTAAATTTAATTTCAAGTAATTACTTCGGTACTTCCAATTATTGTGTTTTACATACACTGTATATAGAAATTCTGTGGTATAATAAAGATGTTGTATAATGTTATTTGTATATAAATTAAATTATTGTAAAAAATTATGATTATATAAATAAATCTTAATAAATCCGGGTTTGATTTCGCTTTCGGAGTGCGAGTTGAATGACTTCGATTTGCTCTATAAACAAAACGTTAATAAATATAGAGCAAGTGAACCCCAAAACAGCTGTTCGATATGCCAGCCTTATCAATGAAATCGAGATATTCCTCTTATCTAATATAAAATTCTACTGAATGGGTACAGCTTGATAGTTAATTGTTGTTTCATGCTGACTTGGCTAAGTGCATGGATTTAGGAAATAATTTGTAGTAATAATATAACATAGATGAGCACGGAAAAAAATCTATTAATCTGCCATTGGGCGTGCAATTTACATAATTTTGTGAGATTGCAAATTTCCATGTAATTGTCCATATTATATGTAATGTGCATTATACTTGATTATCTTCGTAATTATATGAATATTATTGGAAATGCTTTCAGTAAGCGGTAGTAATGGATTTTGAGGGAAAGGATATTTGGGGGCTTACAGAAATGTTAAAAGCTCATCTTCTCCCTCCCTAGATGGTAAAGTAATATACCTTTAATTTATTTATATTTAATAATTAAGGTTTATTCAGGCACACTCAAACACATGCATAGACAAAGGTAGAAAGAGAGAGAGAGTGTGTGTAACAGAGTCAAATTATTAAACGAAACTTACCTGCCCATTTGCCAAATTTATCCAGCAATGTTTGAGGCAGCTGTGGCTGAAAGTATGGCTCGAGCAGCGCCTTGATAATGCAGATCAAAGACTTGAAGTTGTCGTAGAGATAGGCGGCAATGGCCAAAGTGCCGACCAGGTAAATGGCCACGGAAATGAGCTGCCAAATGAACGCCATGCGTAGCAGTGTATAAATGCTTAATTCCAGTGCCGGCTGCATATTGAATATAGTTGCTTCAGTATAAAGTCTATGTGGTGTACACGATGTTCACACAAATACATGTGTATATACAAATAAATTTGATAAGCGACAGCTGATAGCTGGCAAGGCTTATGTAAGTTCAGTTCGGTTCACTAATCAGCATGTTGGGCACATACAGTATATACGAAATAAACGCGCACAGTTTTCAATTGGGAATTCATTGAATTTCAATTAAAACTAATTTTTGTGTTTATAACAGTATTTCCAGAGTCTGCACGGCTTGAGCTGCGGCCACAAGTAGCGAGTCGGAGCGTCGATCACGCACTAAAAACCGAAACCGAAACTGAAACTGAAACCGAAACCGAAATCAAAGCTGAGCCCGAGCTGCAGGCCGCGCAGAGCTCACGACCACAACAAATCGTATATATATATGTATAGCAATACACACACATACATATATATCTATATTTATATATAGTTTTATTCGGGCTTTACAAGCTGCAATGGTCTCCTAAGTCATGAACACGAACAACAGACTGCAGATACACAGAGAGATACACAAACCATGTTGTCTCGTCTTGCAGCTCTTTCGGCTTCTTTTTCGGCTTTTTTTTTAGCTTCATTACTTCATGAACAGCAAGAGTTTATGTTTTGCTCGCGGTGCGAAGATTACAAAATCTGGCAAATTATGAGACGTTTAATTATCGCCGAGCTATTGTAGTAGAGATTTTGGACAGCCTCCACGCTGCAGGCAAAAGTGTGATTGTTAAATTGGTTCACATTTCGGGGAGCTCTCAAGTGCATAATTGGTCTACTCACACTTGGACTCCGAATCGGACTATGTATACTCTTAGTAGTACTCTTGTAGCACTCCACAACTAATTGCTATCAATTAAGTGTAAGATGCATAAATTGTTTTCTACACGACACTAGCTGAACTTGGGCCTCTGCTAATGATAACAAATTTACGTTGTCAAAGTGCTCTGACATGATAAACGATGTAAGTAAATAATATAATAAAGCTGTGACTGAGGCTAAATAACGGAACATCTGTTAATTTATATTTCTTTTCGTTTTATTATACAATCATATGAATGTTTATTATAATCAAAAATAAAACCATTTCTTGTCGCACTCAAGTGGATTTGTCAGATGAAGCCAGAGTCGAGCTATTGCAGCTTCTATAGCTTATAAAAGGAAACACATACATATTTTTAAAAGTACTTTGCAAATTAAAGAAAGTGTCAAAAATTGATCTGAGTTAAACATTGATATATGCATTTCTACTCCGTTAGGACTCGGAGATATTCAAACACAAAAGTTCAATAATCTATATCCTAGGGTATTTTATAGATCTTTAATATAATATAATAATATTGGACTTAGATTAAAAATATATATATTAAAATTCAATTATATCTGAAAGTACTCTTCCCTTTCTTTAGAATTACTTTTGCATTTAAAAAAATATATTTTATTTCCAGCCAAAATAGTTTTGATGTTTTTCAGGAAATAAAAAAATAATAATAATAATAAACAACAAAAAAACTGAAAATATTGTTTAAAAATTCAATTTTTGTTAACTGAAAGTACAGTTCTATCGAAAATTTCATCCCTTTGATATAAAATCATAGTCGCCTTCTATAAGCTGACGCATTTCAAACTTTTTCCATACAAAATAAGCAAACAAAGCATGCATCAAATGCCAAATGCTAAATAAACATAATAATTGAAAAGTATTTTGATAGCACTTGGCTTAAGTGAGTGAAAATATTTATTGATTGAAAAATCTAGTGATGACTTAATGACTTTATGGAAAAGGTGTTGAGAAAATAAATAACGAAATAAATATAGCAAAAAGTGTTTGGAGGCAACTCTGTTTAGGAAAACTATTTATAAATACATATTTTTAAACAACAAATCGATTTTATACATATAGAAAACTACAAGCAACTTCAATAAATTACCTGCGCAGTCCGAAAAACTAATTCCCGTGTCTGTTTGCGTGGAAATACTAAAAAGAACTCGCCATAAAATGTTTACACAAGAAAATTTATTGATTTTGACAATGAAAATAAAAAAAAAATCTGTTCATAAAGCTTTTTAGTTTGTGAACAGCTACATATGTGTGTCATAGCCAAGACAACTAGTTAAGACACAAACCATATTCATTTCTTTTACAGCCCAGAAGTATGCAGCGCTTTTATTTCTTGTTCTTATCAGCAAGTGTTTTGAAGAATATCTGAGACAAATTTAAACGCAATCTCCATGGGATTTACGTCAGACTTTAAATTTTTAAATTTTTTAAATTCCTAAAATAATWCTCTTAAACAAGCCCACAATTGTGGCCCATTTATAATAGTGGCTTCTTGGGGCACTGCTTGTGATATAAGTTCAAGGGCATTGATATATTCACTATTGACAAATTGCTAACCGGGGCTTTGCTGCCCGGCTTGCGTGTGCAAGCAAAACAGCTGTTTTTAAAATAGCATCTATGTACAAAGCATTGCCAGAATGGTGCTTAACAAAAATCTTCGTGATGCACTCTTGAAAGCTGTCAACGAGCCTTCAAACAACGAAATGGTGATTACAGTGCTGCCTGCAGTACAGGTACCCAAAACCAATCCTCAAAGCGCAAATGGAGCAATGCGTTTTCAAAATGTGGAAAGTTGGCGGAAAAATTCTACAATTAAGCGCAAGATAATTACTACGACTTCTCCTAATCTTGCTAAGAAGAAATTCAACCTTGGAAAGAATAACGAACGCTCTACCTCGCAACAATCTCATTATACTGGCAGTTCTAACAGATTCGGATTGCTTGCGCAAATTCCAGCTGACATGGATGTAGAAGACTTGTGTGAACAGCCCAGCACCAGCAATCAAGCGGCTATTGCTGCGTCGAATCGGACTGNAAAAAAAAAAAAAAAATCTCCATGGGAAGACCGTCATGGCGGCATTCTGGACATGATGCCAGAAATAACCAGGTGTTTCGTCCACACCATCCCGCAGCTGGGCCACAGCACTGCGTGCATATTGCTCCGCCGTGGGTATGAAGAGGCCGCCCCTCATGATGCGCTTCGAGTAGCTGTTGATCTTGGTGACCACAAAGTTGGGCGACAACAACTGCACATGGATGCCAAAGGGCGCGGCCTCCCACTGCAGCGCCAGTGTAAAGCTGCGCATGAATGCCTTCGAGGCCGCATAGAGGGCCGCATAGGGCATCGGCTGCAGTTCCGTGCCGGAGCTGACATTGACAATGGCGCCCTGCTTCTTCTCGGAGCGCAGGCGTTGGAGGAAATACCGCGACAGCTGCGCTGCTGCTACCACATTTGTATCGATCAGCTGCTGGGCTTGATCCTTGCTCACGCGGGCGACGCCACCAGGGAAGCCAATGCCCACGTTGTTAACTAGGCGAGAGGAGGATGAGCTGAGATCAAGATTAATGCATGACTATAGTTACTTAGTATGGTTACGGGCAGATCCTTTAGCTCCTGCTCAATGTGATCATAAACGGCTGAGCCTTGTGTGAAATCAGCGATGACAATTTTTACCTGCACATTGCACTCCGTAGCTGAAAGAGTCGGAAAAAATATTATTTATATATTAATTCCATGCCACATACATTCCATTCCCTCTCCACGTACTTATTTCCTTGGCCACTGCCTTCAGTTTCTCCTCGTTCCTGGCTATCAGCACCACATTGATGCCATTCCTTGCCAGCTCCATGGCATACGCCTTGCCAATGCCATCGCTGCTGCCCGTGATCGCCGCCCAGCTACCGAAGCGCTCCTTGATGCTCAGCCTGTGCCTCGCATCGCCAAGCAGGCGCAACTTCAGCAAGCGATAAGGCGTCCTCAGCTGCTCGTACAGATAAGCGGCGAGTGCGTATACCCCCACGCTGATAAGAAACGTTGATAGGCTGATAGACATTCTGCTTGAATTTCAATTAAATTCCCGTGCCTAGCAGCGCTCGACCCAACAACGGACTGTGTACATCGACGTCGCACCACGACTGACATCGATCTGTTATGTGATTCGTGTGTTTATAATATAAACTCGCCGATTAAAGGTTCTTGCTCGGCATACAAATTCGTGCATTAAATGGCGAGTAGTCAAAACAGACTTGAGAAGTGCGACAAGTACTACATTAGGAATTCCAACACACTGACCAATTCGGTGCCTTTGTTTATTGCTATATCTGTCCGCACGGCGAACAGTTATAATAATTATAGTTTGGCAATAAAAATGTTTTCTTTTAAAGAAAACATTTGATTGGCAATTGCTTTGGCTCCTCGATTGCTTATTAATTGTCATCGCATTGCAGTGCGTTTCAGGTCGGGTGCATCGCTCGATTTATTATCATATTGCCCATGCACTTCCAAGGTCATTTCTCTGTGGATCTACTGACTGGATTCGGGCAGCGGCTATTGCATAATATTACTGGTCTATTGATTGCTTTCTTCACTTTTGTCGTATCGATAGTGAAATGTGGTTTTCTTATCAGCCAAGATCTGTCAGAATAATTAGTATGAAATGTAGTATTAAGAAGTGCTCTAGACGCAGCTAGATTGGCTCATCACCCTGATCAAAATTATATATACTTTATGAGATCTCTACTACCTTTTCTGTCTGCTATATACATTTTCACAAAAAAACGGTATAAAGCGATTTCCCATTTATAGAAAAGTGTTTTTATAATTTGTTATCTTTTGCAAAGTTCTATTTGCTATCAATTATATTTTTATGTATTGTATGAAAATGCTATAGGGGTATTCTCACAGTCTATGGAAAAATGTGTTTAGAGTATTATAGTTTTGTAGATATTATATTCAGAGGGTGAGGGAGGCAAGTTCTTTTTTTTTTCAGCTATTTTAGATTCAGGCAGATTACCCCGTTCTTCTGGACTTCTAAAAATAAATATTCTGTAAGTGTCTATTAACCATTCAGTCGGTTATAATGACATGTCATATCATACCATTATCTACATAGCTTTTAATTTCAAATGCTTGATCAATTTTATAGACTTGCTATTGGAGTTTGCAACGAAATATTTAATTTTGATTATTTAGGAGCATTTTAAGGATCTCTGCTGAAGTGCCCGCCAAACTTTAAATCGCATAACAGAGCAACTCTGTGAAGCGTTTATGTCGCAACAGAGCTGTTAGTTAACATCAAAAGTAACGAAGCTTTAGTTGTTTGAATAATCTAAAACGTATTTTAACAGTGGGACAAAACACTCAAATTTGTTGCAAAAAGTTAGCTTCAATATGTGTTGTATGTTTATCCGATATGTTTGTAATCCAAAATCTAAAAGTTCAACTAGTAAAAAATTAGACTTCTTTCGATTATCTTTGCATAAAATTGCGAAGAACTTTATTTATTCTTCTATTAAAATCAATTGCGTTTCTTGACTATCTTTGACTCGCATAATATAAAAAGCATTTTTGAAGCTAATTTTTAAGTGCTAAGCTAATGGACTGAGTATATTGCAAAATATAAAATTCATACATCAATTATTATTATTATTATATAAATATACGAAGCTTATAAATAATATTACACGTTTCTTGTATCAAATGTACTAATTGAGAGTGCTTAATCAATTAATTTCAGTTAATGAACTTTGTACACATTTTATGACTTGCAATTTAAGTGGATCGATAGTTGCGCAGTTTTCTTTTTTTTTTTTTTTTTCATAATTTCTTAGTTTTGCTTTCAATTTGTGGTAAAAAGTACCTCCTCGAAATATACAAGTGGTAAGTTATTAAAAAATAGACATTATATTCATTAAATATTCCAGCCCATCGTTTGATTCTAAAATTCTTGAGGGTGTCCTTTCTTTAGATGGCCTAGATACAAATAGAGAAGGTCCAGATAAGGACTCTTTGAGTATAATATTGAATATCGTTTACAAACGTTACTTTGTGCTAAGGCAGAGTTACATTAGTTGGAAGATATTCACGTTATATTCGAATGATTCTTTACCTTTCAGTTATTAAGTATAGTTGAGATAGATGCGCATGAGTGTTCTCTTGTGTCTAAAATCTAGAATGTGTAAATATGTATAATCGCAATAATTTTTGTTAATATCAACGTTTGCCTTATGGTTATTAACCATGTGAGATATGTGAGAATGTGTGTGAGTGAGTGTCTGTGTTGTTTGAATGCTCCAAGCCTACAAAATAATAACTAAATAATGTCATTTATAGCAAGCGGCGATCTTAGCATTTTATCATCTCTGGTCCAGTTAGTAAGCTCAGCTCATCCTTTAAGCCTTCCAGTCCAATCGATATTCATCAACCAACAACAAATGCTGATTAATTATCCAACCTAAAGGATCATTATAAATATTTTTGTTTAGCATTAATATACATTTACTAAGGCTTACAAAACCGGATCGAAACAGATCCGATTATCTTACCCTCTTTTTGCGCTAGACTCAAGAACTCTTGCCATTTGCCTTGGATATCCCAATATTTTTCCTTAATATGTTTCCGATCCTGCAGATAAGAGACACCAAAGAAATATGCCTTCAGGACATCCTGTGGTCGTGTATCGAAATGCAAATAGACGCCCAAATACTTTTTGCTCTCCGCTATAATGAAGTGTTCATGGGGATCGAACGAGGACACAATATCCTCGATGACATCGCTGCTCTTGTACTCATCTATGAGATGTTTTACGCTCAAACCGAGCCGAATATTCAGTGATACGGAGACCATTTGGCCGAGAGTAACGCGTTCCAATTTGTTGACCTAAAAGAGAGACAGTAGTTAGAGATATATGTATATTGTATATGGAAAATAAAGGCCACCTGCTGTGGTGTCAGCATCTGTGACGACCTAAAGAACTCCTCTAATGTAATTAGATAACGCGATTCGTTGAAGGTGCGCAAGCAAACCGCGCGCACAGCCTTTAGATTCGCATACAGATGCAGCGTGACCACAATATAGAAAACTGTATAAAGCATCGCTTGGCTCTTGATCATAGTCAGCAAATAGAGGCCCATAAAGGAGGCAATCAGATTGACGCACGTCTCTTGGGAGCTATCTTTGGAGGCGACATCCGCCAAATTGCCGCGCACCGCATGATGTTGCGTCAATGCAGCACGCGTCGCACCGCCCGCCACGCCTACAATTGCCTTTAGCAGAGTGGAGCCGCAAAGAATTTGCGTGCTGAAATGCGGATATTTTGGAAGCACATAGATCTCAATGCCCATTGCCAGATCGTTGAGAAAATCCGCTCGCAATCGCCATTTCTTAGAGTCCACATCCAGTTGACTACCTTGCCACCAGGCAAATATAATGCGTCCCATATGCCCGCTGCCCTCCTTTAGTATCCAGGTGACCGTCGCCGAATACGCATTCACATTCTCGCTGCCCACTCCGATTCCTTTGAGAATGGCGTGTGTGCAGAGTGTGCCGCAAATGGTGCTGCAAAATGCTTGCACTGTATCCCAGATTTGATACGCCGCATAATCATCGGACACAGAGTCCGGATAGCCCTTGGGCAGAAAGATATTTTGGAGCACACGAAATAACAAGAACTTCTCTTGAATGACCAGCTTATCGCCGCGTAGAGGCACTCGCACAATATTGCTTTGATCTGCGGATAATGAGGCTTGCATAATTGTCTGCAGATATGATTATGGTATTATCAACTCACCTGCTGGCGTCACATACAGTATTTCCTCCCCTTTGGTGCCATATTGTTCGCGAAAATGTATTTTCATTATTGTACATTAATTCAACACCGTTTCTGCTTACACTAAATGCGGGACCAGTGCGTGCACACTCGCAGAGCGTAGGCAACATACTCACGCTCCGCAGTTTTTTTACAAAGCAAACAGTTCTTCTAATTAGAGAGCGCACAACGGTGAGAAGGCCGTTAACATATGCCGAAATGTTATTAACAGCGAGCGCGAGTTTGAAAATATATTTTAATAGAGCGGGTGTGACGCCAAAAAATATTTTATTTTTATAAACACATTATTTAAAGCCGTATTTTCAATCAAGGAATATGCACTCACCTAACATAATTTTATTAAGTATGAAATTTAACATTCTTGTTGAAAGATAATTGTAGCTAACGACGTGGCAGCACTGTGTGTATTATAAAATAGTGTGGCAGCCCGTGCGCGTACGAAAAGTGATAAAAGAGACGAAACAAAACAAAACAGTCATTCAACAATTTGAAGCACAACACAAAAGTTCAAGAAAGGAAAACTCTAGACCCCAAAGGGGTCGCTTATTAATTAATACACTTATTAATTAATACAAAACTTAGAGAAAAGAAATAAAAAACAACAATACAATTTGAGTAAAAGTGAAAAAGTGATAAGTTCGAAGTCTGAGGCAACAATCTAAATTTAAATTGTGATTGTGAGAAATAAAAAAAAAAAAAAAAAAAAAAAAAAAATAACATAGTAAACTTTTGGCAACTACTTGACAAATTTTACTAGTGAGTTCGCCAGGCTACACAAACACAATCGAAATACAGCAGGCAATGTCATTAGAGGATATTAAAGCAACATTACGCCGTTTTCCAAAGCTACTTGGAGGTTTTGGCATATTGACCACGTAAGTGAAAGCAAGTGCAACTGTAACAGCAACAGCTGGTCCTAACCGCAACTACTTTATAATTAAAACGAATGAATAACCATGCCATCTAAATGCGGGGGCTCGTCATTTCAAATTCAAGCTGAACTATAAAGGTCTTGGCACACATGTGCCGAATGTGGCGCCACTTGGCCATGAACAAAAGTGATTCCCCTGTATTTTTAACTATGTAAATATATCTAAGTGCAGCTGCACTCAGATACAGATTGCTGTTTACAGCAATTGGACAATAACAACAATAACAAGCATATTATTCACTCTGCACATTTTGAGCAACCGCCAACGAGCGTTGTTGTTGTTGATGTTAACACAAAACACGATCAAAACAAACGTACGATTTTGCCAAAATGAGATAGCATGATAGAGTTAATTTTGTTGTTGCTTTCATCGTCTTTCTCTGCTTTACTGCTTCTTGTGCGTAACAGCTGGCCAAGGCCCTCTCCTGATCAGTGATCACACCAACACACCGACACGTAAGCGCATAAACACCAAAACGTGCTGAGCGCCAAAATAGTGCGCATTAGTTTTTGCGAAAAACGGCCCCCAACGATTTGTGTATGATATTTTTCAGTGCTGGTTATCTCGCTAATTTCAAGCTACATTTGGCTTAATTTTTGTCAGAAATATGAGTCATTTAGCTGATAACATTAGCGGAAAATATTCAAGAAATGCGATTACAAATTTCAATTGAAAGATACATAGAAATGCATATACATATATATTATAATTAAATGTATCGTCAAAAATCAACATTTCAATTAGATAAAAATTCGGCTATTTTTGTTGCTAGATTTTTTCAAAAATTGGCAGCACTATTGATTGTTTATATCTAAAAATTTAATCTAGCGCGTGTGGCGCCATTTCTGTCTTGGTATTGGTGACACGCCCACTTTTATAAAACTAATAGTTGTTTTTGTTTATGGCACGTTTTTGTCAACAACGTTTTATTGGCAGCACTTTCTGGCTTGTTGACATTTGGGTTAAATAGAAAGAAAACAAGGCAACGATAACGAGTAAACAACAATAACAAGAGCGACAACAACAACATGCTAAATATATCAATTTACAAAAATTCTTATACCTTTTTTTTTTAGTGCCGGCATCATTCTATACGAGACACCTCAAATCCGTAAATATTTATCGCAATATGTGGAAAAGAAGCAACAGGAGCCAGACAAGCGTCGCACTGAATATATTTACATTAAGTATCACATTTACCGGGAATCTATGCGCAAGTTGCAACAGAAACAGGAGGACGAGAAGAAGTGGATAAGCGTGATCATCAATCCCATTGGCAAATGGTGGAAGGCAGCGAAGCATTCGGTTGCATGGCGTCTGCTGAACATTGCTCAAAACGGCAGCCAGGCGGAGCGCTTGAAGGCCGTGCAACAGCTAATCTGTATGGATCACCTGAAGGATTGGGATTTCCGGCACTTGGCACAGATCTGTGATGCACGTACATCTGTCTCTCTGGCCCGTTGCGGCGCCGATATGCGTTGGTTTATGCCACTGCCGAGGCGTGGCTGCATCCGTAATCCCAAATTGTTGCTCAGTGACCTGCACAGTATGCTCGATCGGTTGCGTCCCATGTCCTGTGTGGACCACTTCTTCAGTAAATACTTTCCCAATCAGGCTCATGTGGTGAGTATATGACTAAGAAGTCATAGGATCAAACAAAAAACTTTACGATTTTTTACGTTCTCCCCTTAGAACGATGACAGTGAATTTTTAACACAGGACCAAATCATTTCGCTTTCCGTGTTGGACACAGATTTGATGAAGGAAATCATCTCATTTTTGCATCACATCACAAAGGATACCAAAGTTGCGGCAAAGATTATACACGAGGGCGGCCTAATGCATTTAATGGAACTGCGCAAGATTTTCGCCGATGACAATGAAACGCTTTCTACACTGTGCAAAGTTCTAGCTAATTTATCTCTAGTTGAAGACGCAGTGGAACATTTCTTTGTGTCTGGCTGGGTGGGTGCATTGGCTGAGTGGCAACAGTGCCCCGATTTGCGTCTACAGGTCATATCGGCCAAGACAATGGCCAATCTGGATCACGATGATCCCAATCAGTTCACATACCCGCCCAATGTATATCCATTGCATCCGCGTGTGCGCACCCGACGCAAGCCCAAGGCGGATATTGTATTCATTCATGGATTATTAGGTGGCGTTTTTATTACGTGGCGTCAACGCGATCGTAAGCCCACCGAATTAGGGCTCTATGGCAAGAATGCCTTTTACACCAGCGAAACAGATGATGTATTTCTTGTGGGCGAACAGAAGAGGAATGGAAGTAGATCACAGTACAATAAACAGCAGGGCAGACCTTTAATACCGGCACAAATACAGCCCGATCCAAACAAGCACAATCTCAAAACGAAAGGTATTTGAAAAGAAACTCCCATTTTTATTCCGATAAATATTGAAATGTCTTTGTACCCGCAGAGGCTCTGCTTAAGGCGAGCAAAAAGAAGGTTGAGGATACACATTTGAACATCAGCGATACGGCTACCAAAGAGTTTATGGAAACCCTATGCAGTGAGGCTGAGCTGGATTCGGACTGGGAAGTGGTGCATCCAGATGTACCACTGGAAGCTAACGAGAATTGTCGTGGCAATTTTAGTGTCTCAGGCAATGAATGGACTAATCAGGATAGTAGCGAAGAGTATACAAACTGTTGGCCCATGGAATGGCTGCCAGATGATTATCCCGATTCAAGGTAAGCACGTTACGGAATTCAGCTGAGTATTAATTATGATTTTCACATATAAATTTCCATTATAGAATCATTGGCATTGACTATACGTCCGCAGTGACCGAATGGTCGGCCAACTTTACCAAGTATTGTCCGTGCGAAAAGGGCCAGGGCCATATTGATGTTCGGGCCAGCTCGCTGTTGGAACGCATTGCCACCGCCGATGTGGGCAATGGACGCCCTGTGGTCTGGATAGGTCATTCCATGGGAGGACTGCTTACTAAGCTAATATTGCTAAAATCTGTGGATTCTGTGGAAAAGAATGTGCAACAGCTAGCCAAGAATACGCAAGCAATTGTATTTCTGGGAACTCCGCATCGCGGCTCACCTATTGCTAAATGGAAACAGCATATGCAAGTGATTTTGTCGCCATCGATTGAGGTTAAGGAAATGGAAGAAAATTCACCAAAATTGCTGGAGATGCATCGTCGGTTCATGGGCTGTCTGCACACCGTTCTGCGTCACGTGAATGTCCTTAGTGTGGCCGAAGGATCGCCCACAATGTTGACCACATTTAAGTTCCCGTTGCGCATTGTCACGGAGGAATCGTCACGAATTGATTTCGGTGAATTCTTTTTGCTCAAAGATGATCATCTTAGCTTGTCCAAGCCGATCTATCGCCAATCGTTTCTCTATCAGCGCCTTCTTCACGTCATAAGGGAGGCTATCAAACAGAGCTCCGATCCAAAGGATACAGATGAGCAATCTGTGCCCAATACTGATCTGCTCACCATGAATATTATCGCTTTCGTACTTAAGGGCGCTAAGGGTCTATTCGAAATGCTGCCACGCGTAGCCCTGCGCTTCACAACCTAAAAAGCAAATCCAAACCGACTCAGAACATTGCGAAATATTCACTTTCACACGCTAACCACGCTTGTACCTTGATCATGCAATGCATCCCAGCTAGGAATCTGTTTGTAGTTTATCGAATTCAATAGTATTTCTCGTTAGTTCGACTTTAGCACCTGAACGTGTGTTCATAATGTGTATATTTACATTAATATAGGAAACGACTGGAAAATCTTTATTTACGAATATTAATTTATATCTTATTAGTTTGCTTAAGGAATGAAACTTAATAAATCAAATTATAAATCAAATCTTTGTATTAATTCTCTGCAAAATTGTTGATTATATATGTACATATGTGTATATACACTGGTATAGTAAAACTCTGGGGAATCTATAAACATATGTATATAGGAAACGACTACTGCATATTTGTACTGGAATCTTAATTTATTTCTTAACGTATGCTCACCTAACAATACAACAAAAATAATTCAACTTAAATTAAACTATTTGTCGGCATTGGCCTCCGCTTGCTTGGCTCGCAATTTTTCCTGTGCCATTCGACGATTTTCTGCAATGCGCGCCATTTGCTCTGCGGACAGCTGTGCTCTTTTTGTTGCAGGGGTTGCTGGTTGAGATGGCGGCAGCGGTTGACCATAATCATTGATACTATCATCAGTAGCTTTCGTAGGACCAGCTCCTGCATATGGCGTGGATACGATAGCGTTACGTGAGAATGAAGGTGTCACCAAAGTACTGCTCGTAGTGGATAGATTGCGATTTATTGCCGGTGTCCGAGGTGCTAATTTAGACATGGCAATTTGTTCGCCCAGTAAGGCATCAAATTCATCAAATGGTTCGCCATAATCATCATTCTCCTGATCATTAGCATCGTTCTGCAGTTCAATATTCTGTTCAGCTAACTCCTCTAGCTGACCCAATCGATAGCGTGTCATATGCACCTGCAATGGCTTCTTCTTGCCCAGACGTTCGATATTGTTTAATATATCGTCGAAAGTGTAATTCGGATACATCCGATGACCCCAATGTTGCAGGCGCCGCAGGACCTCATTCAAATCATCTTTCTCGTAGCCCTTGCCTTTAAATTTTATGTCTTTGAAATAGTTTTCTATCGTGTGCAGGCCACGTGGGCCACGTAGCGTATCCACTGTCAATCGTGGACGTGGATTCCGTACAGCGCGCTTCTTGGGTTCCACCTTAACGGCTTTTTGTTCTCCCTCGCCAGCTTCATTTGCTGCATCTTCATCATCGTCGCCGAACAGTTTTTCGCCTGCATCTGGCTCGCCATCACTTGGTAACTGATCGTTATCGATGCCAATATTGTCATTGAACAGGTCGTCAACCCCATCCTCACCAAATATGGATGCCATTGAGATGCATTAAAGTCTACAAATCTACCACTCGGCTACTGCAAAACAAGAAGCTAGTTTAGCGCCATTTTTCTGCTTCTTGCCGTTGACATTCACATTAAAACTAAACACGTCTCGCAAACATGCCAACTCGTGTCCTGAGATATGGGTCTTTGTTACATAATTTATGTGGGTTTGGCATGGAAACATTATAATTTGCCATAATATATTGTAACAATAAATTAATTTATGAATTTTAACACGCAAAAACAGAGCAGACAACAAAATAGAAGTGGTGAAAATTAACAGTTGGCAGCGTGGCAGAATTTAGCAACCCTGCACTCGTACAGCCTGGCAACACTAGTAACGCCATACTTCTAAAATGCTTTTTTCGGGCGAGTTTACATTATCCGCATAAAATCAAAAAAGCAGAAAAAAGAACTAAAAGAAGTATTTGAAAAGTTGTCATTTGGCAAATAAACTAAATGTTATTACCAAATGTCATAGCGTCAGTGTGATTAACACGCTAAAACATTGCAAACGCGCATTTTTCTGGGAAAAAGCGATAGCAGGAAAAAAATTTAGAGTGGTGAATATTTCCGTTTTACGCATTTTGCTGTGTTCGTCCATCAGCTGCGGCTGTCAAAAGTTGGCGTGCCGTGGTGAATAGCTGCAAGCCGAAAACAAAACACGACAAAATTATGAACAACATTTTGTGAATAGAAAAGAGGATTAAGAAACGATTGTGCGTGTGCCATTTGTGACTGTGCAATGGATAACCGTTTCAAATGGCAACAACAAAGAGGTGGCTACATGGAGCCACCCAATTACGGTGGTCCCCCGCATATACCAAGATCCGCCTATCAGGTACCCTACAAGAATTACAAGCGACCCAATCACAATAACTACGGGTACAACAAACATCCTGCCATTGGCCCTGGTGGTGGCAACATTTATTACAAGCCACCGCCACCCCAGCAACAGCAGCAGCAGCAGCAACAACAGCTACCACAACATGCCAGAGGAGTCGACGGCGTTGGCTTGTCTCAAGTCCCTTTGCCGGAATCCGGGAGCAGCAGCAGCGGTTCAGATGTTGTCACATTGATAGTGGAGAACAACACGCTGAAAAAAATGATTGTGCTGCATTTGGATTTGATGCATACTCAAAACGAAAGTTTAATGGAGAAAGACAAGAAGTTGGAGGATCAAAATGGACGCATCAAGACCCTACTTTCTCAAAACCAGGAACTAATGCAGCAGATAGCCAAACTCAGCCAAACCATTGAGGATCTTCGCAAGGAGTTTCGCAGGCATATCAAGCGTTCGGCAAACGATATTGATGAGCAGCCCAAGGCCAAATATCAATGTTGCGCCGACAAACAGACACAGACAATAGAATTGCTTCAGCAGGAGGCGCTGCTCCAAGGCTATTCGACGCATGCGACACATTCGAAACAAACGCAAAATGTTTTGGTTACATCTGTTACGGATTTGCCACCAAGAACACCGGTTGTTGAGAATAATAAGTCTCGCAATGAGTTCAATGGCGGCAAGAAGGTCAGAACCTTCTTTTTGCATCGTGTGCATCAGGAGGAGGAGGAACAACAGCAKGAAGAGGAAGAACAGCAACAGGAAGAGGATAGACAGCCAGAAGAGGAGCAAATTCAATTGGACGACTTTCATAGTCAGTTGGAAATTGTAGAGGAAGAGCAGCTAGAGCATGAGGAGCACGAAGCACATATGGAGCACGCACATCATGAACAGCACGAAGAACTTGAGGAGCACGAACATCATGATCAGCACGAAGAACTTGAGGAGCACGAACATCATGATCAGCACGAAGAACATGAGCTGCAGGAACAACATGAAGAGGAGCAAGAAGAAGAGCAGGTGGAAGAAGAGCAGTTGGAAGAGGAGCAGGTTGAAGAGGAGGAAATGGAAATGGAGATTGACGAAGAACAGGACCGCGTGGGTAATGAAACGCCTGAAGCAAATGACATGGAAATCGGTAACGAAACTATTATCGGAGCTGAAGAAGAGCTGGGCGCCGAAGAGGAGACAGTCGATGATAACAATTACAATGGCCACATCTACGAGGAAGTGATTGAGATGGGCTCCGAAATAGTTAACAATGGCGACATAGACATGGGCATGGATGTCTCGCAACAAGAACTGCAAGAGGACTTGCTCCGACAGGTAAGCGATTGCTATATTCACAAGAGAGTTTCAATTTTATATATTTTTATTTTCAGTTGCAAGATACCGCGCACTTGAAGCCACACAAGAAAGTCTCAAACATCATTAAAAATGAGTTGAAATATTTAAATTGTTCAGAGGATATTGTTAACAAATGTTTTCAATCGAAAAAATGTGATGAACCAACATTGCCTGTGGCAGTAACTAAGACCACAAAGTCGCAATTAAAAGTTGAAAAGAATGAGAAGGGAGTAGAAGAGCAGTTGGGAGAAGAGAAGGCGGAAGTGGTAAAGGCAGAGGCGGAGCAAAAGCGAGAGCAGATGGAGGAGCAGCAGGAGAAGGAGGAGAAGTGCGAGAAGAAGGAGGAAGTCACCCACAATTCTTATGTCAAAGAGGAAATTGAAGAAAAAACAATTTCAGTAATGTCACAAAAAGTACGGCTGCATTCGGCAACGCTTAAAACTGTGGGCAACCATCGGATAACAAAGTCGCATGTGGAAACCATAAAGAAGGAGCGTATTGTTAAATTTAAAAACCTGCCAGTGAAGGAGCCGACTACAACAGCAAAAACAACAACACAATCAACAGCAAGTGAAAACGAAGGAATGTCCGATGCCATACTAGAGCAAGATTCGGAGAACATGGGACAGCAAAGAAAAAAGCGAAAACAACAGCACGAGCAAAACATTACGCAAAAGCTGGAGGGAGAGCTAAAATTAACAAGAGAGCTTGAGGTGATAAAGAAAAAGCTATTAGGAAGCCTTGACGAGTCATACTCGGGACCCAAGTCGGATAAACAGTCCATGGAAAATGAACTTAAAACGCCACGCGAAGGCAAGGATCAAAAGCTGCCGAAGCAACTGAAGCAGAAGCAGCAACAGCATCAGCCTGAGGCGAACCAGCAGTCGAAGCAACTGAAACAGAAGAAGCAACAACATCAGCTGGAGGCGAACCATCAGGCAACCGAGTCGCAAGCAAAAGCAGCAAGTAAGGATCGTAGTGCAGATAAGTTGAAAAATAATCAGGCCATGGGGACAGCGCATACACCGCATACAGCAGCAAAGCACCAGGAGGCAATTTTAGATACGTTTACGCAGGAAGATGAAGAGGCGTGGATGAATCAGCTGAATATGAAACGGATACAGCCAAAAGATCCAGCTCTGTTACAAAAGCAAAAACAAGAAGCCGAGCAAAAGGAGAAACTGGAGCGTGAGCGAAAGGAGAAACTGGAGCGTGAGCAAAAGGAGAAACTGGAGCGTGAGCAAAAGGAGAAACTGGAGCGTGAGCAAAAGGAAAAGCTGGAGCGTGAGCAAAAACTACGATTGGAGCGCGAGAAGCTGAAGAAAAAGCTAAATGATAGCCTTATAGAGCCACAGTTTGAAAAAGAGAAGAAGCCGATCGAACAGGAACGTAGTAAGACGCCACGTGACAGCAAGGAGCTAAAACAGTCCAAACAGCAACAGCAGCAGGAGGAAAAGGAAGACCCCAATATTGAGGAAGAGACGAAACGTAAGCTGCAGGAGCATCTGCAGAAACAACAACAGAGATTGCAGAGCCAGCAGCAGCCGTTGCCGCTTGTGCGTCTCAAGAAATCTCAGATGCAGAACACCAGCCTAATCTATCCACCCATAGCGCAGACAAGCGCCACAATTACGCCAGCGCCATCGCCGACAAATGCAACGTCGCCCAGTTTGACTTTGGCGAGTAGCAGTAGCAGCAATAACAAGCGAACAGCAGCAGTAGCAACTGCGCCAGCACCAGCAACAACATCTATACAAACGCCTTTAACGCCGCAGTCTATTAGTAGCGTTAGCAGTGGCAGCAATAGTAGCAACACCAACACCAACAACAACAAGAGCACAATTATTAACAAACCGCGTAGCAATTCCAGATTTCTAACATCGTTGGAGCCATATACGACACGTTCGTGGGAGGACCAAGAATTTCACTGTGACAATGAATTCTTTTTGGAGGAAGCCGATGAGCTGCTTGCCGACAATCCCAGTCTCGAGATACCCAAGTGGAAGGTGATCCGAAAACATCCCTGTACGGATGACAAGGACACGGAGCCATTGAGTGATAACGACTTTGTGCGTCGCCACGAAAAGTACGTGCGCGATGAGATTGAGCGTAAGAAGCGCGATGCACGCTACATACGCGAACAGATGCGCAGCGAGGCGTTGCGTGTGCGTCATAATCAGGATGAGGTGCTGGTGCCGCTTGAGCCCCTGCCCATATCAACATTCTATCCGCTGCCCGAGGACATTGAGGCCGTTTCCTATGTAACCGAGGTGCCCGTTCAGGCATTCGGCGAGAATGTTGTCAATCTACAGGCAGAGCCTAGCGAGAGCGAACCGAACTTTACGCTGCCCTGGCTCGAGGCGGTGCACGGCGAGACGGCGATTGCCCGGCTCAGAGCGGAGGCTATGCCTGTGGCAACATTGGCCAGCAAAAAACTGCCCACATCGGCGGCAGAGGCGCGGCACCAGGAGATGAATTCATCATATGTGTTCCTCAAGCGGCGAAAGCGGCAAAGGCGACGTTAAGCGTGCCGCAGCAGCAGCAGCAGCAGCAGCACAGTTGCCACATGCCACACACCCACAGATTGACGTTGCACATGGCTGATATATATATATATAGATATATATGAAATCTATATCCATTTTTTTTTTTTTTACCTTTTATTAACTTAAAATTAGATCATTAATAATTATGTAAACAGTCGTTAGTTATAGAGAGACTTTAAAGCGTATTGAAATGACGTAAACAAAACTTATGTTAAATATTTATAAAACAGTCAAAAAAGCAAACAAAAAAAAAAAAAAAAAAAAAAAAAAACCATCTCAGCTTTATCCTAAGTTGGTTAAGAGCAAAAATATTTGAATGAAAAAGCAGAAAACGAAAAGTTTTCTGCTTTGGTTCGGCTTTAACAAAATCGAAAATTTTAGACTTCAGACACCCTATGTATATGAATATTACTATATGTTCTCTTTTTTTTTTTTGTATTTCTATTATTGTGTAATTTCTGCAGAATTGCGTGTATTCATAGTTTGTTATAAGGATTCGTAGTTGTCAACTGAATGCAGACTGCTTCCAGGATGTGAGTGTGAGAGTGTTTGTGTATTGAGAAATTCGTTACTCAGGTATATATTTGTATGAGTGTGTGCGTGTGTGTGCGAGGAGCAGATTTGTTGAGTACTAATAAATTGCATAGTTTATATAGAGAAGTCTGATCGTCGTTTGACTAGTTTTTATAGGATTGCAAAGTAAGGGTAGATGAACAGCTGTCTGCATTTAGTACTGAATCAACTACGGATCTCGAATAAGCAATCATAATACAATATTGGATTTTTGTTTAATTATAATTTTTAAACCCAAGACTTAAATTTGTTTCATTCAAAACCAAAAAAAATAATAATAAAAAAATAAAACGAGTAAACGGCAAAAATAAATAAAACTTGATGAACAAGTAAAAATAACAATTCGAGCTCTGAATTTTGATATATTGGAATTACCTTTGTTATATATATTTATATATACTATATATATATATATTTGTACTTTGTGCAACGTTTGTGTAAACAGAAGTGTTTTGGCATGAGCATACTTTGTAAATTGTCTAGCTTCTAAGAACATAAAGTAACAACTAGCCTAAGTAGCCGGGTGATTATTTCTATATATGTATATCCTTTATATATATGTATATACATAGACTCAACTGAATTAACATTGGGCAATCTAATTTATCATTTTGAAGTTTCTTATACAGCAAATCCCTCAATGCGCTTGTATATTGCAAATAACATTTACTTCGCAGCTTTATATTAATTTTCATTGTTTTTAGTTTTACTGTAATTTACTTAGCTGTTAATTAGTTCAAAGTGCAAATTTTCCTTGAATTATTAAAATATATATATATATAGTTATTCGCCCACTAAAATTAAATTGAATAAGATAAAACTGTACATTTAATTGTTTAACAAGTTTTATTGTAAATAAAAAAAGATTATATATAACAATAATTAAAATAATAATACATAAAATAAAGTAAAATGCAAAGATACTTCAATACTATAAATTGGACACATTCTACGATTAATTGACATCAAATATTTATTGAAGGGCGGAGGAATTCTGGTTTGACCTATTTAGTGCTTTGTGTGAGATATTGATGGGCCGTTGTCTGCCACAGCTCATCAACCGTATCTAGGTTCTCTCGCCACAGTTGCTCGAGAAGCAGCCAGCCCTGCGCCTGGGTGACCAGGACATAATCATTGCCTGGATGCAGGGTGTGCGTATAAGCGCCCATGATCAAGCTCTGAGCGAGTCGAGCGGCCACACAAAATTTGAGATAGTTTTGCTCGTCGGTGCTAATTGACTGGATGCTGGTATAACCGGCAAGGAAAATGCCACCACTGGCCAAATCCTTAGCTTGCAACATCATGTAGGTCATGGCAATTCCCAGTTCAAAGATCAAGGGCGATCGACTGGTGTCGCCAAAGTCAATGACGCCCGTCACACGATGTGCATCTCCTCCTGCTGCTTGAGGAAGCGCATTTACCACGATATTCTGTTCATTGTAATCGCCATGGATGATCTGCAGCTCCAGTGTGGGCAGCACGCTCAGCACTTTCGATTCAAATGCCTCGATTACCTCCTCGCATAAGGCCTTACGCTGATGATCCTCGAGCACGTACAGAAAATCGCGCAGCTGCGGCACCGATTGCAACATCCAGAGTGTCTTGTGTGTGTCGTATGCTTTGTGTGTGAACTTTTTCAGCGCTCGATCCAATTTAGCCAAATATTCACCGCTTTGATAGAGCAAATTTTTGGTTGTCGGCACCTCGTGGAACATTTGACCTGGTATAAATTCCAATAGGCGCACCACATGATTGTTTCCGTTAATTTGCTCCACAGAATAATACTTTCCGCGTGCATTAGCGATGGGTCGGGGACATACCACATTTTGCTTGGCTATTTTTGCATGTAATGTACAAAAGATACAGTTATTACAACATTTCTGTAAATATATTCAGTGTTTACCCAAATAGAGCAAAAGTTGATTTTGTGCATCCACAAAATCTTCCTTTTTGGAATCCAAGGCGTTGAGAATTTTCAGCACATAACCATGTGGCGAATGCGAAACAATCAGCGGATTCTTAACGTTGCTGAAGGAAAAGAAACCGAAAAAAATAATTTTAAATTAAATTTCTGTAGTGTTGAGAAGCGCAGAAATGTTTCTAATCACCCGCGATTCGGGGCGATTGGCAGCAGTAAGAAGCAGCATCCGCAAAGATAACAATCTTTTTGGCGCGTATTTTTGCTAATTATTTTGCCCAATGTTGGACTAAATTTAATTAAACTTCATAGTAAAATATATAGCAATTGTGATGGGCATAACCGGGCTGATACCGTTTTTGGAAAAGGCATCAGCCAAGGTGAACTTAAAAGACTTGAGAGGTAGCACTGTTGCCGTCGACAGTTACTGTTGGCTGCATAAAGGTGTCTTCAGCTGTGCCGAAAAAATTGTACGCGGCGAAGATACGGATCTTTACGTACAGTATTGCATGAAATTTGTCCAAATGCTGATGTCCTACGATATCAAGGTGATTCTGGTATTCGACGGACAACATTTGCCAGCCAAGGCACTCACTGAGCAGCGGCGCCGCGAATCGCGTCAACAGAGTCAGAAACGGGCCAAAGAACTGTTGAGGCTAGGCCGTGTAGAAGAGGCACGCTCTCAGATGCGTCGTGGTGTCGACGTTACACACGAGATGGCGCTGCGGCTCATACAAAGGTGCCGTGAGCGCAACGTCGACTGCATTGTGGCGCCCTATGAGGCCGATGCACAAATGGCGTGGCTTAACAAGGCGGGCATAGCTGAGTATATCATAACTGAGGACTCGGATCTGACTCTCTTTGGTGCAGAGAAAGTTATATTTAAGTTGGATCTCAATGGTAACGGTTTGCTGGTCGAAGCCGACAAGTTTCATCTGGCTATGGGCTGCTCGAAGGAACGCTATCATTTCGAAAAGTTTCGTCGCATGTGCATCTTATCGGGCTGTGATTACCTGGACTCTCTGCCAGGCATTGGCCTGGCGAAAGCGTGTAAATTCATACTGAAAACGGAGCAGGACGATATGCGGATAGCACTGAAGAAAATACCACAATATCTGAATATGCGTAATTTGGAGGTGAGTTGGCAGCAGTTGGCATACAATTGGGGAAAAAATTCATGTTCACATTTCTATTGCAGGTTGATGATGATTACATAGAAAACTTCATGAAGGCAGAGGCGACATTCAAGCACATGTACATCTACAATCCACTGGAGAAACGTATGGAAAGACTTCACGCCCTAGAGGATTATGAAACGGACGAACGCTATTGCAGCAATGCGGGCTCATTGCTAACAGACAGCGAAAAGGCAATGCAGTTGGCATTGGGCAATCTAAATCCCTTTACTCTCAAGACCTTGGATAACTGGCATCCGGATCAGGCTACACAGCTTGCCACTAAAGCGGCGTCAGCAAATGCCATTAAGCGCAGCAAGCACAAAAGTATTTGGCAAAAGGAAACCAAGGAAACTCTACAGGAACTGAAGCAAACCAGTTGCGCCCTGTACTTCAAGAAAATCGACTTTGTGGGCCAGAATATACAGGCTGAGATCGAAGCCAATCAACGGCAGGAGCAAGCAAAGCCCACAGAGGCTGAACTGATAAATGTTTACAGCTTTAAGGGCAAACGTAAACGCAGCCCTAGCCGGAGTAACAGTCAGAGCACACCCCCATCTTCGCCTGTACAGAGTAAAAGTCGCCACAACCCTTTTGCCAAGGAGTCACTACAACGCCCGCCTGCCGTCTGTGAAAACGCATCATTGCTGCGCCTGATGAGCCCTAGCAAATGCAGTCCCCTGAAGTCAATGGAGCAGTCCAGAGTTAATCCCCCGAAGCGCTGCAATTTGACCGAGGTGCTAGAACAGGTAGAGGTACGCAGTCGATTCTTCAGTGCTCGCATCTCGGAAACTGAGCGAATGCCAAGGGTACCTAAAGAACAACTGTCAGACGAGAAGCAGCTACAGGCGCAGGCAGTGGAGCGGGAAAATGAACAGCCAGTGGTGCAGGAAAAGATGCAGCCAGAGCAGCCAAACGAACAGCCGAGGGAAGCTAACATTCCAGAACTGGACGTGGAGTCCACAACCACCTCAGCAACAACTGCTAGTAACGAAGACATTCTTCTGCTATCCTCGGACGATGACAGCGCTCCGCTGCCGCGCATCCAGGCGCAAGCAAAGCCACAGCTAAAATTGGCACCCGTTGCTAGGCGCGTCGGTCTGTCCAAGCCAAAGGCGAAGGGGCGTACCAAGTCGGTGCCGATCAGCGAGAATCAGACAAAGTTAAGCATGTTTGGCTTTCACAAGCCACGCCTACTCAAATAACCTGCCCTATATCCATTTGTATCGTGTAGTAATTGTTAATCAAGTGCCATCAATTTGTTATAAGTTAATTTATTGAAATATTAAGCTGACTAAGGCTGTACTCGCAAACACTGCCCCAATATCGAAATGACAAATATATATATAGATAATTATCAAATGAGTCATTAGAAATGTAAATAATTAGGGTCGAGTCAAGCCGCTCAGTAAGCGGCAATATAAATTCCAACTGGCACAACGGTGTTATATGAACTGCACTGCAGCCCGCCAGATGGCGCTTCGTAAGTTGCAGCAAGCACTTGGCAGCTGCAGCTGGGAATGGTGTTTGGATAGATTTATGAAGCAACTGATCATATGATCTGAAGGAGATGCGCCAAGGTAAGTGTTCAGCGTGTTTCTAGATAACGAAAATGGGCTGCTGTCAAGGTGACCGAGAGAACAATAACAAACACGGCAACTACGTCAAGCTCCATTGCCCCCCGCACGACTAACTTTAATTAATATTGCTATAAATAAACCTATGTGTGCATGTGTTTGTGTCTCTGTTTAGCCGCCCCTTCCGCGCCGCTTGTAAATATTTGTCATTTGTGTTCAAATACCCTCGCCGACGATCTTTAAACTTTTGTTGGGGAATGTGCAAGACAATAAACAATAGATATTATTAAAGTCAGTACCTATTGAATTTTCTTATTTTATTTATTTTTTTTATAACTAATATTATTATGTTTTCGTAGATCTCTAGCAATCTAGAGTTTAGCAATGAAATACATATGTATATATATTTGGGCTTTAACAAATTTTGAAGAGATCTTGTTTGTATAATTAAAAAATAATGTAATTTAATAACTTAAAAAAAAAAAAATAATAAGTATAAATAAAATCTCTTCAGAATATAGAAATATGAAATTTGAATTGTTTTAAAATTTTAAAGAAATTATTAAAATAAAATTGGGTTCAGGGTATAACAAAATGTAATGAATTTGCACTTATTCTAATATGTTAGGATAATTTTAAATATTGTTTTCTCTCTGATATTTTTACTCACCAATCTTCCTGTATTAGATAGTTACGATCATCGTAGGCCTTCAGTTCCTTTAGCTCGCTAACTGTGATTCCGTACAGACGTCGCACCAATGGCTCCACCTGCTCCAGCTGCAGCTTAGGCTTGATGTCCGACCCGGGCTGCAGCACCTGACTGCTGTCCGACGGATTATTCCCGCTGCCATTGGCATTGCCATTTCCATTTGTTGACGTTGCATTTGAGCTCTCGTTCGCCTTGGTCAGCCTTTGGGCGCCATCGTAGTCGTGATTCAATGTGTACGATTTTTTGGTAATGCTCGTCAGCTCCACATTGTTCCACTGCTCCATTTTTATTGTCTATCTATGTATGTTGCTGTTCTTGCCTTTATCGGAATACAACGGAAAGAGAAGAATACATTTAAGAGCTTTACCGACGACTTTAGAATACTCTTTTCATAGAACATTATTTGAGAACTCTAAGGTAAGCTTAAGATCTTAACAACTTGATTTGAGGGAGTGCAACAATCTAAGAATTGTTAACTCAATATGCTTTTATCACACTACGAACAGAGATGCTTATGCAAAATAATCAAAAAATAATATATATGGTAAGAGATCAGAATACACACGCGATGATGTTGAATGCGATCGTAAAGTGCTCGGCTTTGCGTTCAAAAGCCAAATGAATTGAATTTCAGCTTTTTCAGAGGGACGATGCGAAGGGGACGACAGCAGCGCTTCAATTGAAACGAGTTCGTTGCCGCAGTCGATGTAGATGTCGCAGCTGACGGCGCTGTCGACGCTAACGTCAACGTCAGCGTCGTAACGTTGCCAACATCTTCATATCTTTAAGGCAGTGCGTGTGACTGCAAATGTGTGCGTGTGTGTGTGTGTTTCTTTGTGTGGGTCACGCCTGCTACATTTGCTCAGCTAATTTTGTTATTTGTTTAATTTTTTATAGCATTTTACTGTTTACATTTTGATTGCGACTTGGCTACATTTTTTCCCCTACCTCTTATCCTAGCCCTGCAATTGGGACACTGCATCAACAACTTTTTCGAATAATTATTTGAATATACACTAAAATCTTGAGAAATAAGTAAACGAGTTAGTATCTACTTAAAATATGTAAAAAAATATACATATAGATATTTACAAAGTAGCTGTGGTTTCACGGATAGGAGTGAGTAGCTAATACGAATAACAAATAACTATTAAAATTCTGTAAATATTAAATTATAGAAGAAAACCAATTTTAGGGTGATAATTAAAAACTATATAATATAAAATACAAAAAAAAAAAAGAGTTTTTGTTCAAACTTGAATAAAACACAAATTGAAATTTATGGTATATGACCGACAAAAATGACAGAAAAATTAATAAATGTTTATGCTTAGATAAAACAAGATAACAATCTTAGAACGTACAACCATGTACAAAACTATGATAACTTCAAAGAAAAATAGGCTCTAAATTTTGTTTCTCGCTTACTTAGTGGTGTTATAGTCGAGTATAGTAACTCTTGCTTTGTTTATCAACATTGCTCAATCAAAGCACAAAGCAAGTCGTGATCGCACCTAATTAATCGAACTTAATGTTAATCATTTTGACATATGTATATACATATATGTATGTATATATGATTGATTGAATTGTATATATATGTATATATATATATAACAAGCGACAGCAATCTTGCAATTGATAGACATAAGCAAACCCATTTGGCCTGCGCAATATTGCCTAATCTAATCAACTACATTATACAATGCCTTTTTTTGAATTCAATTTATATACCCGGCATATTATTTATTAACATTGAATGGCATGTAAATAAATAGCATACAGGGTATCTCTTAGTCATAAGCTTTCAATTAGAGCATTAACTGGTTCTTCTTTCCAACGTAGCGGGAGTATTGCGCATTTAAAGCGCTGCTTGAATGAGCTTTACAAACAAAGTTAGACAGAGAGCGATAGAGAAAGAGAGAGTTAATTAAATATGCGCTTACAGTAATTATATAATGATTTTTAGAGTTCTGTTGATTTTTTGTTTTTTTAAGGGGCTACATCCGTTCTCCGTTCTCACTCTAAAATACAATTTTAATGAATGTGCCGATGACCTTGACTTGAATGCAGTTTAGTTGCACTCATATGACGTTTGTAGCACTTGCAATACACTGCATTCGCCACTGGGCAGGCGCATATCCAAACAAATAAACAAACGAGCACACACACGTACACACATTGTAAATATGCACAGCTGATGGGTAATAATGTAAATTGGTGGCAAACAAATTAGAAGTTTCAGGCCTGCTCTTATAATTCACATTTAGGTAGGCAAAACACGCACCTGTTTCGTACAACTGGTCAATTTAAACTAACTTTGGCGTTTCGGTTCGATATAGCGTTGAGCGCTGGCCCAGGTACCTGGCTTGGAATACATAGAAATGTCTGTGACTGTATATGGGTAGCTGTGGCGCAATTTCGATTTTGTTGTATGTTTAACTACGCAATGTTTTATTTGAATTAAAGTGTCGGTACAACAAAAACATTACAACAAGTGCAAATTGGATAAACTGTAGCGCAATGTACGAAAAACCAATTCAAATAATTCCCCCGCGCGTTGACATGTGAATGGCTGTTAGCTGCTGCCTGCGCCTGTTGGCAGTAAACAGCTGATTTTATTTATTTTTGCACATAACCTCAAACACACTTGATTTTATTTTTATTTGTTGGTTTTGAGTTTGGACTGATTTTTTGTTTTAATTTCATACTCCTTAGTTAAATGATTGGTTTAATTAATTAAACTATGGATCAACTGTATGTGGAGATTGAGTTAAGCACCCAGAATGCGGAAACAACGATTTATACCAGCGTGCCTTCGTTCCTAGCGCTCTACACATATCGCTACCTCAAGGAGCCCCGAAATATTAAAGTTAACTTTGTCGCAAGTAAAATCGGTGCTGGTAAAATTGCTTTACGCAGCTCCCAGCTGAGACGCGAACTGACCGATGAGCATATCACGTGTCGCGATGCCGCCACGCTACCCGCCCTCCGGGATCTGCGTCTGCCCATCTATGAGCGGGATGGGAATATCTATATTGCAGGCACCTGTGCCGTTTGCCGAGAGATCGTAGCACGCCAACCCAACAAGCATATGCGTCAACTATTGGGATTCAAGGGTAGCTGCCTTCTGGCACCAGCGGAGGCCTCCATATGGACGCGTTTCTGTGAGGTAGATGTGGTTAATCTGGTCAGCCAGTTGCAAAGCGGGGAGCTCCAGTTGCGTGAGGTGCCTGTCGAAGTGGTGCGTTTTGAGCAGCACATGAATCAGCCGGTGCGCATGCATAACATCTATAAATTGGCCAGAGAGCAGGCGAATCTAACAGAGAACGGTACCCCACTGAAACGTAAGGAGCGTGTGCTTATCGAATGCAGCATACCGAAGGAACAGCTCCTAATCGAACATCGTTTTGCCGAGGGTATTAGCTTTACCATTGCTGATCTGATACTCTATCCACTGCTGCGTCTAGTCTTCCAACATTGCGCACAGATGTTGCCGCATTTTCCACTGATCAGCACTTGGTTCAGCGAGGTGTGTACGCTTTAGTGAATTGTAATCTATTTATATACTCATCAATTGTGTTGCAGATTGAGAGCTTCGACTCAAATTGTGCTCGCATCCTACACGAGCTGTATGTGCCTATTCTTGTGGCTCCAGCGGAACATACACAGTTACTTAGCATACCCGATTGTGAGGAGACGAGCCTCTATAAGGCTGATCCGAAGCGTTATCGTCCACGAAATCGCATTTATACCAGTCAGTCCGAAGTAGAGGCAGCATTGTCCAAGCTGTCACCACTACAGCTGCAGTTCACTGTCGACTCGGAGCCTTCGTTTGGGGAACAGCTCATCGACTGGCAGTGCATTGAGCCGACGCATGCCAAGAGTTCAGCTTTGCCGGCGGAGCGTTTGGAGCGTAAGCGTCAACAACTCGAAAACATGGCCAATGCGGTTGTCTCGCTGGCCCAGCCTGGCGATCGTATCGTCGACTTCTGCAGCGGCACTGGCCACTTGGCCATACTGCTCGCTCTAAAGCTGCCCCAGTGCATCATCATTGTACTGGAGAACAAGACATTTTCGCTGGCGCACGCCCAGAAGCGTGCAACCGAACTGAAACTGAGCAACTGTGTCTTCTATCAGTGCAATATTGATTATTTCATGGGTCGCTTCGATATAGGCGCCTCGCTGCATGCCTGCGGCACAGCCACGGACATTGTGCTGCAGCAGTGCCAGCGCGTGAATGCGGGCTTCGTTTGCTGTCCCTGCTGCTACGGTTCACTGCAGCCAATGCCACACATCACTTATCCACTGAGCGCCCGCTTCAAAGAGGTGCTCAATATGAAGGACTATTTGTATATAGCGCATACGGCGGATCAGGCACACGTGCTGGGCACTAGCAACTGCAAGCCGGAGACAACGCTACAGGGCATGCATTGCATGTGCATCATTGACACGGATCGCAAGCTGCAGGCCGAGGAGGCCGGCTACCAAGTGATACTCACACGTCTCAAGCCGGAGCAGTGCACGCCAAAGAATCATTTGCTAGTCGGACGTTATGTACGCAAATAGAGAGATCCCAAAATATATATGCCTATGTATTTTTTTTTATAAATGATTCTATTCTTTAAACTCTTTTCTGCCATGGCGTCCAGATTTCGGAAGAAAATTTACTCTCTTTTCATCCCTCTTCGACAGCTAAACAGCGGCCAATTATTTTTGTTGGTTTTCGTAAATATGTAAATGCCGTTCAGGGCTTTTATTTGAGTAACATGAAAGTGGCTTTGTAGAAAATGACTTAAATGGATCACCAATTACCAATTTACTAAGACGAGTTCAACACGCCGGCCGCCAGTCTAATTCTTTAGATAGATATGAATGCCGCCACGCAAAGCCAGCACCAGATGTAACACTGAGCCGCCTTGCACCTTATAGTCCGCCGCCGTTTTGTCATCATTCCTAATAGAGGGCATCACAAATTGTTAGCTTTAATTTCAATTTGGATTTCGCCAGACTCACATTTGTTTGCCGGAGAATATGAGACGTTGTTGTTGGGGTGGTATGCCTTCTTTTTCTTCGACGCGCTCCTTGATGCGATCAACCTTATCTGTGGGTTCAATGTCAATCTCAATTTCCTTGCCTGTCAGTGTCTATTTAAAAATTTATGAAAATAAAGGAAAATTAGCAAATTACACTATTCTGTTCAATTTTGTTGTTGTTGTCCGCCAAAGCTGACGCATGGCTAGCGCGGTCGTTTTTCACCAACTTTAGATTGATAATTTTATTTTCATTCCAATTTTACCTTCACTTTAATCAGCATTGTATTAGTATGTGCTGTTGCTTGCGCAAATACAAATTAATTTAAAATATTTAATTTTATTATATTTTTTCGCAAGCTCGTTCTGGTCGCGGCGTTTTTTTGCGAATGTCATTCAAGCGGTGCTGCCAACTTGGTGAAATACACTCAAACACACAGCTTCCTACTGAATGGCGATAGAACACGCTTTCGATTAATTTCGATATTTTTGGCGCCCTTACATGGTTGAAATAATGTCAATTCAAAATTTACAGAATTAATGTTTCGTTTATTTTTGTATGACATGAATATTTTGAACATATTGACATATATTTTATTTACATACTAAATACCTAAAAACATACTTTAATACCTAAATAAAATGCATTTTGTTCAACTTAGACTAATTTTTTGAGCTTATTTATGTCGTGGACAGCCTCGCTTATGCGTCGAATGTCTCGGGCATACGTTCTGCAGCAGCCGCCAATGATTTTTGCACCCAACTGAGTCCACTCTGGCACGTAATTCTCGAGCGGCACACAGTGCTCGCGACCCTGCCAGCCCGTTGTCACATCGTATACCTCTCCGCTGTTCGGATAGACCACCAAGGGAATCTGCTCATCGGGACTGCGCTCACCATTCAAACTCTTAAAGAGGGGCGTCACAAACTTTGGGTGCACACAGTTCACTCCCACCGCTAGGCATTTGTCCAGAGCTTTACGTTCAGCTAGCAAATCCCAAATGGCATTCGCAGCATCTGCAAAATCCTCACCATGGGCGAGAGTACTTTCATCCTTGCACTGAAAGGCAACCCAGAACTTAACGTCTGGATAATCATCGCACAGCATTTCAACTAGCGCTTCCGCTTCCATTTGACAAGGTATCGTTTCAATGGCCAAGGCATCTACGCCCGCCTCCAGGCAAGCCTCAATGCGAACGCGATGCCAGTCCGTAATGGTTTTCGCTGGCACATAGTCCGCATAGCTTCCGGTGTACTCGGAGCCATCGTGCAGATGTGCACCGAAGGGTCCGATTGAGGCAATAATCAACGGATAACCTGCGGAGCAAAAGAGATTTAGAGACAAAGCTATTAGGAAGGTGTTGAGTGGAGTCTACCTTCGTGTATTTCCAGCTGCGCCTCATAGCATTCCGTCAAGTACTTCTCTTTGGCAATGTGCGCCAATCGCACCGTATTCTTGATTAGCTCCACGCTCTCCTGCTCGTCCAGTTCCAGATACTCCATGTAGCCCTCAACGCTCGTCTGATACGTGTTTGTCAATATCAGATCAGCGCCATCTATCGGCGAGATAGGCAGATAGAGCAATAAGATTACAAATAGATTACATTTTTACTAATTGGAGCTGTTTACACTTACTCTGCAGGAAGTCCAAGTGCGTATTGATAACAGCCGTCGGATTGGTGGCATTGAAGCGAGCACTCCACAGCGGATCGCCATCCACAGAGTTGCCCACATGGACAGTCATCTGTGTGCCAAAGCCGCCATCTTTGACCAGTACTCGCGTCAGACCCATGATAGCCCGTTGCTGGAGTGGGACAGGCGGGCAGCAGTAGATTATTGGTTTATATATTTTATATTACATTTATACATCATATATCTATATAGTATTGCCAGGCACTGATTACATCGCTGTAATTGCGCTTATCAATGGCGCAGCGACTAGCTGTGCTGGACAGTTTTCTTTGCACCCAATGTGGGCCTTGACATCTGCCTAAGCGCACGACTTTGTGTTTTTTTTTTTTTTTTTGCTGATTAATATAATAATCGTAATAATGAAAACACATTGTAGTTGAGTCTGTTTACCACCCGATAGCCTTGTCCGTGCCGCAGTTCACTGAACTTCAGCTATATAATTTAAAGACTTGAGAGTATTTCACACTCAATTGATCTCCATTATGGCAGATCTTGTAATTGAAATAGATATGTATGCATGTCTAATGCGTGACACGAAGTAGTCTCTGGTGGTCTTGGGCCTTACGTTTTATTCTCCTGATTTCCTTTTTAATTTGCTCAATTGTTCGCCTTGCCATTTTCTTCTTACTGCCCTTTCCTCTTATTTTCTAAATCTATTGACTTTGCACCTCGTTTCATCTGCTCGCCTGGTATTGCCTTGAAGAAGGAGTCATGACCACCTCCTTTTACCTTCGATATTTCTTCAACTCATTCCTAATTCTTTTTGTTTTCCTCCTCTCGCCGGTACGTCTTGTCTAGGCTTGCCGTAATCTGTCACAATTTTCTTACTTCTTTTAGTCATTTTAAACTTCCTTACATTCTCTCTCCCACTGGCTTCTCTTTACACAAATTCTCTTCTAAGCTCTAATAATTTTATGGTCTCTCTATTTTTCTCTCTTCAGCTCAATTTTAAGTTTTTCTCAAATTTCACTCACGCTCCTCCTCACGACACGCTCTCCTCTCTAGGCACGGCTTCGTTGACACTCACCTTGGGGGCTTATAAATAGATCTTGTAATTGATTAAATTGTTGTTTTCTATTTGTTTGTGATGCGATCAACAATGTGGGCTGTGCTTTATTAAATTCCGTTCAGTCTGCGCCTGATATACATATGTACATATCTCTCTGTGTGTGTCGGTCTATAGATTAATGAACTATGCTGTGCGGTGAACGTTCTAGGCGCGTTTAAGTGGTTTACAATGTCGTCTGGTTGCTTTTATAGCTTGCCGCCTTCTTATCAGCGGCCAAAACAAAACAAAAGCAAAAAAAAAAAAAAAAAAAAAATATGCAAAGCCAAACAAAAACAAACTAGTGCCCGGCTTAGTGATAAGCAACGTAGAGTCCAGCTGCCAGGCAGACAATCAAGCCAAACGGACTGACAGATGCGCAGCCGGGGGCACATTGCTCGAATGAGCTAAAATATCTGATGCAATACCAAACGGAGGGCATTCACAGCCAAGTGGATGCTAATCAGTATCCAATTGGAATTCCTAATTGAAGCGAAAAGTGGCCGTGCCAATTAGTTGCTGCTGTACTGTATTGATTTGGCTGTAATTGTTTAATCAGTTATTGGCTAAAGCTGTCTGTTGTAGGCATTGATAGCCTTTGACCTGTTCGTGTGAACCTGACAGATGGACATATGGCAGACATATGGCTCAGACAATCGGCGAGTGTACTTTAAACGGTACACAAGTGCATACGCATAACTGAACTGCTCTACAGATATGGCTATATATGGCAGAACATCAAAAATTCTCCAGAGATATGAATATAGCAGCTATACATGACTATTTTATTATGATAAAGGCTTTGTATGACTGGTAAGGTCTGCTGTGTGCTTGCTTGGCAGTAGCATATCAGCGCCATCTATCGGCGAGTGGCAATCGCTCTTTACTGCATGAAGTTATCCACATTTACTGTGTAAGAAGACTGGGTCTGTGGTGACTTATTGTGTTATTCTATATATTTGTAGAACCGTATATATAATTAATAATATACATATTTGTATATATATTTATATATAAAAATAAAAACTAATTCGCACATTTTAATGACATCAATTCACTTGATTTGTCGAATTGTTTGTTCTTATCTAATTAGCAACAGTTTCGTACAGTTAGAAACACTTATGAACTATATATAAATTTCTATATATTCATATATACATATGTATATGTACATATATGGGTCTAGGCCGAAAAGTGAATGGAAACAAAAAAACGCGCACACACACACACACAGAGACAGGCAGACGGAGACGGGCACAGAAGAGATAGTGACTATATAACTAAGGATGTTTGTATTGGCGATTGCGGCTGCTGAGCGATGTCTTCAATGGTTTGCCGTATCTCGTATATGTCATCCGGATAGACGCGACAGCAGCCGCCAATGATGCGCACGCCCAAGCGCAGCCACTCGGGCACAAATGAAGCCACATTTAGCCCATTGCCTGTCCACTCGCCACGATCGCTGTCGTAGATCTCACCCCGATTGCTGTAAACGACGAGCGGAACGGTAACACCGTGGGGCAGCTTGGCCAGCAGGGATTTCAACAGGGGGGTTACATGGTTGGGGTTCACACAATTCACGCCGATGCCCATGAGGCGTGATTGCGCCTTATGCTTTACAACCTTGTTCCACACGGCTAGAGCGGCCTCAGCGAACGACTCGCCATGCGCCAGACTAGACGAATCCTGCCGAAGAAGAAGAACGAAGATTACAAACAGTTGGTAGACGATATCAAATCAATCTTCACCTTGCACTGAAATGACACCCAGAAACGAGGAGTGCCATAGCAAGTCAGTAAGAGATCTGTGACAGCCAGCGCCTCCAGCTGGCAGGGCAGCGTCTCCACGGCGAGACCATCGACGCCCGCACTCAAGCAGGTATCAATCCGTGGTTTGTGCCATTTCTGGAGCTGGTTAAAATTGACCAGATTCGCATAGCTGCCCGTATACTCGGAGCCATCGTGCAGATGGGCACCATACGGTCCGATCGACGCCAGAATCCATGGCATGCCCGGGCCAATATCCCCGTTATTTGCTGCCACCTCGCTCAGATACTTCGTTCTGGCCTGGCGCGCCAGGTCGACGCTCTTAGCAATCAGGGCGATGCTCTCCTCGCGTGTTTTGCCCAGATGCTTCATAAAGCCCTCCACGCTCGACTGATACGTATTGGTCAGTATGATGTCCGCGCCCTTGCGCAGAAAATCTAAGTGGGTTTGTATCACGGCATCCGGCTGGGTGGCATCGAATCGGGAGCCCCACAATGGATCGCCGTCGACCTTCTCGTTAACATTACGTGCCAGTTGGCTAGAGAAGCCGCCACATTTAACCAGGATACGTGGCTTCTCCCTGTGCTGATGCCAATTGCCGGTGAACTCGGGCATCATCTTGCTCCGGTTGGTGCTACGTGACAGCTGCGACTGCATACGGTAAAGCAAATTTATATGACTGTGTGTATGTATATTTAGGGTTATTTAACGCGATTTAAAATTGCGGCGTTTATGGATTTAGCCACGGTTTTGCCTACGAATGTACGTGATTATTACGAATTTTGCTGATAACTTGAATTCCGCTTTGTTGTTTTGTTCGTCGCCCACTTTTTTTTGTATAATAATTTATCGTTGCTGGCAACTTTTCTTACTTACACATACAATGGTATCGCCTTCATCTTTTATTCTCATTTTCTCACTTTCGCATTCGCAAGCAGCTGTTTATTGTTTACATTGGTTGTTGCTGTCTACTTAAATGGAGTGGTTACAGTGGCGTCAAGAAAAACGCCATGAGCTCTGGCAGTCAGAAAGGGGTACAGTTTTACTCTAGAAGAAATACTGAGCTTGTCTAAGACTATTCCATTTTCTCATTCGCACAGCTGATTATTACTGGTTGCTTCTTGCGTGCCTATGCACTCATCTATGGGCACTGTTTACAATGGGCACAGTGGCTGCTCAAATAAAAGGCACAGTAAGCAGTTCTCTTACAGTTTCTCATTTTCTTTTCTTCCTTCGTACAACTGTTTATTTGTCGATGTTTGTGGTCGTTGATTTGAGTGCTGCTTACAAATAAATACACCTGAATACAAATAAAGATAAATTACCGTATTATATTGACACTTTATGATTTGATATTTGTATAGCATGCTTATAGTGGCGTGCGAAAAAATGTTACCATCAGCCCTATGCACAGTGGCTGCCCAAATAAGACGCACAGCGTATGTATACCCTTTTTATTTGTGGTGAAACAAGTTTATATATAGTCGATAATAATACATATTCATAAACAAATTGAGTACGAATTTTATTGTTAGTAAATAAATTTAGATTTTTTTTTTTTTTTTTTGGCCTTTTTTTTTTTTTGTGCGCTTTGGCGAGCCGCTCGCACGCTTCGTGTTCAACGCCCATTGGCTGGCATTTTAAATTTATATATATCAGATGGTTATCGGATCAGTTTTACCCGTATATGCAGAGT